CTGTATGTTACTGTATGTTATTGTATGTTACTGCATGTTGCTGTATGTTACTGTATGTTACTGTACAGTATGTTACTGTATGTTGCTGTATGTTACTGTACTGCTGTATATGAACAACACACACACCAAATAGACATCTGTTAGTGAGCAAGTCATTTGTATAGGAAACCACACAACCTTGAGTACAATTTGGAATCAATAGTCACAAGTAATGTTTTGAGAGTTCATCGTAATTGCACAAGCCCAATTCCAAATTGTGCATATTTAATATGTGCTCATATTTGGTGTAACTTACAGTAGACGGYGGTTCTGGTACAACAGATTCTTCAGGGATATCAGGTGTATTTTCTAATGGAGTCAGTCTTGCTCTGCCTGACGGGGGTCTAGATGATGACTCTTCATACTGGACTTTACCACTAAAAAAAAAACAAAAAACAACTTATCAACATTGTGGTGTCCCAATTTGTATGAATTCAATAATAGAATAAAATGTATATATATCATTTATTATTTACATTTTAAAAATGAAGAAACAACAACCTGTAGAATAACATAATTGTAACTATAAATATAATGCCAAAAAATAATAAGTTAATAATCCATGAATGGCCTAAGTAGTACCAGCATCTAGTTGTACAGTATGATGAGTGGATATATCAATAATTTGTATTCATGTGATGGAACAATATTGTACAAGTGACTACAATACATGTACCTGCTTTGAGATCACATAGTTTACATGTATTTTAAATAMTTTTAATTATCATCTAATTATCTATAAAATACGTATATATTTTAATTTTCTCTCTTTTGAAAAAAAAAACCTTCGAGGTTTCTCTATTGGAAGTACACAGAATATTACATGTTTGCTTGGAGATACAAATTTTATCTTTTCATTCATTTTTTAAAAAAATTACTAAATTGTGAGAGATCTTTTCAACACTTGAAGATAATAAATCCATATCATTCTGTGTTCATACATTGCAATTTTGACAAATAATAATTAATAATTATGTGAAATTATTACAAACAAGCAATATCACTAATCAAGAAAACAAGCTGTCACTACAAAAGTCATATATTTGGATCTTGTTCATATTTTGTAGTACCAYGACAAAGAAATATCTTGAAATCATATTTCATAAATTGCATTTGCTAAGTTTAATTTTTCAAGTTTAATCTTGAAAGTAGACGAGTGACAGATCAAGTGGCTGGCTGTTTTCTTAATGCATTGACACAAGACACCATTCATTAACAATTTAAACATACTCAATACAAGTGTCTGTTAAATGACATGTAACTGTGACAAGAAGGTCTCTAATGTAATATGTTATTCAATGCCTTGTATACGTAAATATACAAATATAAAGCTTAAATATTGCTGCAGCTGTTTGGRAAACTAATTAAAATTTTAGCAAGCTGAATTTACACTGAGGCAAACAATAATAGCAAAAACAAGTAGCAAAAAAAAATAAAAAAATAATAATAATAATACAACAAGTATTATATTATCTAAAAAAAAAACTAAAAATGAATTTTATGATAAAACATATGACTTCCATTTTGAATAATTCAAAACCGTTATTTTATTCCCCTCTACTAACTGTGTTATTGAAATGCTAAGCTATCATGCATCACAAAATATAAACATATAAAAATGTGCAAACAGAAATATTTCTTGAAACAAGTATGTAATGTACATTTACAGTTAGAGGTTCACAAGTAGACCATCTAATTCATCTACAGAGTCTTATCATCATCAAGTTACAAGCACATTAATATACATATTTCTTGATTAGTACCTGTAATCAGGCTATTACCAATAATAACAACCATGTTTTTACGAAGGTTATTATGAATCATTGTTCTTTAAGTTGTCATAATTGTTGAAAACATTCCTGATTACCCCCCCAGCTACTTAACAAAATAGTACATTGAGTAAGCATATACAGTACATATGTAACAAAATAATACATTGAGTGAGCATATACAGTACATATGTAACAAAATAATACATTGAGTAAGCATATACAGTACATATGTAACAAAATAATACATTGAGTAAGCATATACAGTACCTATGTATGGAAAATTGTAGCTATGTGTTTGAGATTAAATTCTGTCTCTGGCGTATATAATATTATTCTATATATTCAGATGCTTTAGATGTTGTTTTTTGTTTTAGTATGCATCTTTTTGTAGACCAAATATGGTAACTTTTCCTTGAAAAATGTGGCACTTGAAGAGGGAAAATCGCTATGGAAACTACCGCATAGGAATACATGACATTTACTGAACTTTTTTATGCATGCATGCCTGTATAAATTCTAGAGCTGTGTACATGTATGCCAAAATGTAAATTTTGGATCCAATAACTGTCTTTGTAAATATTTAGCACTGATGATGTTCAATAAAAAGAAGAATGAAATATCTGAATAAATTCATTAATACAGACACAGACAATGAATTTAATCTCCAATTACGCTTCTAGATGAAGTTTTTGAAAAGCCTTGTATTTGGTGACAGATATCTCTTGTATATATGGCATAGGCCAGCCTATATACACTCATATCAACTAGAGAATAAAACAAAGCTAAAGGTTACCCCTTGATCATGTGCAGAAAGATGGTTTACCTTCATCTGTCGATACTCAATCACGATTGCATTGTACAGTGTTCAGTACAATACAATACAATAAAGATTTATTACAGATGCAAATCAACACTATACAAATACACATATAAAAGCAGTATAAAGCGAGATACAAAACGAAAAATATAACAAAATAGGCATCTAGAAAGGAAGTTAAGAAGGTTAGCCCTATGTGAAAACTCCCCTGAAAAACGACAGACATATAAACAAGAAAGCTAAATATATATACGTTTAAAGATAAGAGAAGAATAAGATGGTCAAAAAAAGAAGACTATATGAGGCCGAGATGATTTGATAATTTGGATTTAAAAAGAGTGAGACTGCCTGCTTGGACTATGTAATTAGGGAGGTTATTCCATAATTTGACAATATTCACGAAAAAAGAGTATTTGAACGGATTTACTTTGGCCGCTTTAAGGTACAATTTATATGGATCATTAGATCTTGTTATTTTACATTTGGTATATATTCAAAAAAGTCCTCAAATTTGAGGTGGCTTAAGTTAAAAACAATTTTGTAACATTCTACTAGGGATACATGTAAGTAATTTCTTCTTGTTGAGAGACTTGGCCAGCCTAGTAATTTGTATCTGTCTTCATATGACATGTCCCCCCTTTTCTGTCGAAGAGCAAGTCTAGACGCTCTACACTGTACAATAATTATGATATGGAAAATTGAAAATATACATTAAGTACCCCCATTAAAACCATTTTTAACAAAAACACTTTAGCTAAAAACCTTTTTCATAAAATATCTGCAATTAGAGGAAATTACCGACTGAACACTCTGCCAAATATGATATGAAGCTGTCAACTTCATGTTTTCAAGAAATCAATTTATCGTCCCTTGAGCTTTCCTAAAACAAACTATTTTTAGAATCTCATCTTATATTAAGAATACAACAGTAATACCTCAATTGTGCCCTCCCTGTTGTTGAAGTACAATATAGACTTAATCGATTTTTTTTTTCTTAAAGTAAAAGTTTAGCCATAGGTGGCTTTTTGCAAGGATGCATTAGGAAAAAATGCTATGAGTGCCAATATATAGCCAGTTAATTTTAAACTTTTCTCGCTTAGAGCAATGTACAAACATAATCGTATCACTGCAGGAGCCGTTTCTGAAAACAAAGAGAAGTATTTTTCCTTGCAATTCAAATTGTCATAACATCAATAACAAAATTTTACAGATGTCAAGAGTGCTCTAAATGGAAAGCCTGAGGACAACAACATTATATTCATTTTATTTTTACAAAACAGACATAAGTAGTTTATATGTACAAATGATAACATTTAATGTTATCTTGACTGAGAACTATCGTGTATGGATAGCTGTCGAAACCATGCACAAAAATACCATAACGCGATATAAAGACCCATCGTTTCAAAGCGGTTGGTCGCTTCACGAGGCATTCGAGAATATAGATATCCAGGAATAAACACCAACTATTGTTCGAAATATACCATTTCTTCACCACATTTTGTGTTTCTAACAGTTTTTACAGATATCTTGACCGCAATTACAGTAAACATACTCAAAAACTCACCTCAAGGCTGACGGTGGCCGACCGTCGACTGGTCTTGGTGCACTCGTATTAAATAAAGTCCTTTTGGATTCTGTTGGTGTACAGGGCCTTCTTGTGTTTAAGGTACGAACTGCAGACCGGGCCTCGGCAACAATTTCTGCACTTGTTGGACCTGTCTTCTCATAAAATGGTCGGTCAGCTAGACGTTTCGTCTTCCGAGGCTGACGACCAAAAGGCTCCATTCTAAATAAAGACAGTCCCTGCTATAAAACTACATACTTTCATCTGTCAAAGGATGTTTTCAATTGTTGAATTCAGTGAAGAATTTCAAAGAAAATTAAAGATGAATTCATCGTGAATAACAAATGCTCCGTTCCTAAGAACGCTTTCACGGTAGAACCTCGTTTCCACGACAGATTGTGACGTCTGATGAGCATGCGCTTAGAGTGCTTTCGATAAGAAGAAAGAAGAAATGAAAAATGAAAATAGTAGACTGAAAAGAAAATTGCTGGACAGGACACTTTAGTCATATTTAAATATCGTATTCAATGGGTCATTTCTGTTTCTCTGTCAAAGAAAATTTGTGTAAAACTAAGCAAAATATGATTATATTTCAAATATTGCCTGAAATTAAAATTTAATGATAAACATTCGAGTTATGGGCTAAGTTCACTATTTCGAACTATTCCATAAGTGTCTTCCTTTTGTTGATATTTTTTATTTATTTTTCTGCTTCAGATTGTCCTGCGCCCGCAATATATTAGCTTCTCTTTCTTCGCTTTGGTCATGCGTGTTGCAGAATTTTCCAAGATGGCGGGAAGTTCAGGTTCTTTCCGTGAGCTCGAGGATAAACCATGTTCAGCAGARATAAACTTAATGAAATGGTCTCCTAAGATGGACTTAATTGCACTAATAACAGCAGAAGGAGAAGTCTTGCTGCATCGCCTTTCTTGGAAGCGTGTATGGAATATTTCTACCTCTGAAGGTAAAGCTGTGCAGATGGCATGGAGACCCGATGGCAAACTTCTGTCTGTTGGTTATAAAGATGGAGCAATGAAACTTTTTGATGTTGAGAACGGAGAATGTGTTCATACGTGTAATATAGGAGAAATCCCTACTTGTATGGACTGGGTTGAACACGAAAAAGACTCAAATCTACGCAAAGATATCGAGAAACAGCCATTTAACGTTGACAAGGCAGAGCTCCTTCTACCACCCCTCCCCTCCCTACCAAAATCAGGAGAGACTTTGTTTTCTAAAGATTCAAGTGAAGAGGTCGATAAAGATCCCAAGAAATTAGCTTCCTTACCCGAAGAACTTAATATTCTAACAATAGGGGACAGCAAAGGTCAAATTCATGTATATCTCTATGGTATTTTCTTGTGCAGTGTTGTTAAAACAGAAAATACCGACATATCTAGTGTTGTGTTTTCAAGTGATCTTAAAGTGATGTCAGCTGTTGTCAGGCAGCTACACACAAATGGTGATCAGCAGACAATATTGCTAGAAGTTTATAGCTCTCCACTATTAAATTCCCGTCAGTATGAATTATCTGTTATAGCAAAGAAGATAGGTACTGTTGCAACACTGATGGAATACTTCCAGAAAACTATAACACTGATGTCTGAAGCATGGGAGGACATATTACTAGAAATGGACACTAAGCTCACAACTTTTGCATCAGAGATGCTTGCCGCTGGCTCATCTGTCAGTCAGGAGTTCCTAACTCTTCTAACTAAAGGAACATCATCACCAGAATTGCAGTCATTTCTTCTCCACGAGCTGACTGAAAAAGGACTTAAGAAACTTGGACACAATATAGAGAATTCTTACTCCAGCATTCAGGGTCTTGCATTGAAACATCTTGATAGTGTCATACAAGCTTTGTTGTTTCATTTAACAGAATTGTTAGGGATGGCCAAGTGGTATGATCATTATGGAATCCTGGGTCTGTCAGAGGAGTCTGTCCAGGGAATTACAAGGATGCTTGGCTCAGTCATGCTGAAAACCAGAGAACTGGTTGATGTCATTGAGAGTAGTTTGAAGAGTTTTAAAGCTTTCTTTCAGTGGTTGTACTCAGTCATTTTAAGACTCTCCGATGAGCCAATTCCTAGTTACATCAAGCAGTCTAGTCAAGAGGATGTTGTCTTGGTTGCACACTTTCTGCAAAACCAATTAAAAGTCAACCAACATGGGAAGTTTAGTTTAGAGAGGGTTGGGCAATACTTTGAGGATTCAGAGTTGTCATGTGTTTCTTCATATGGTAATACACCATGGACTAAGTATGTTGCTGACAGTCCATTGCTTAGCAACAGCCCGTTAATACTCCAGCACAGCAGTAACACATCACTTGTAACTTTGGCAAAGTGTCTTGAAGACAAAATGCAGCATGCATTCAAGAAGCTTGCTGATACAATGAGCAATTCTTTCCAATGCAAATGTAATATCCACCTGGTTTCTTGTTCCTTAGGGTCGTTATTTCAAGTTGGACAAATATCAATGAAGGCATCAGTTTGCCAAAGTTTGGTATTTTCAGTTGGAGAAAATTCAGAAAAAGCATTTCTTGTCAACCTAGAAAATGTTACTGACACCCATCCATTATCCATCAAAGCAACATCATTATCCTTTTCCAGTCTACCAACTGATCAACAAATTGCCATGAGCGTGTTAGATGTCAAGTTTTATGATGCAAACACCATTACTGTTTTGCTGAAAGAACGACATGAGGATGGTGAAGGAATGACATACTTAGCTCAAATACCAACCCACCTTCTGCAAGATGAAGGATTTATTTTCATCAGTACAAGCCACCATGAAGATCCTCTGAGCAATAATCCTGCTCTGAATGTACAGGATGTGGGACCAAGGTTAGCGTTGTGGCGTAGAATCCAAGGATTCCAATCAGGGTCTATAGCTGTTAGTGGGTCAAGAAAAGTGTGTTGTAACTTGTCAATGTCAAGACGTCGTGTTAAGCTGTATGATATGGATGCAGAAGATGAAGATGATGAGGAAGATGAAGAAGAAACCAGTAAGAATGAAACTAAGGACATGGAACAAAATGGTGAATTGAGCTTTAATCAGTAATCAAATTAATACTCCAAAGACTGCTGATATACATCATGTACTTACTCCAGTTTTTGTAAATGTGCAAAATGCACTGTTAATAACTATAGCAATAGTAGAGCGGATTTCGTATGAATGTGCAAAAAACACGGTACGTTCGTGCTGTGTCCGTACCGTGMCGTAGCAGTGATGCATTGGAAAATCTTTATTTTCATTTGAAATCCTAGAAGGCGAGGTTACTTGACAGTGCCGTGCCGTGTCCGGGTTGTGATCTGTGCTTTTGCACAGTCATATGAAATCCGCTCTAGTAAGCTTTAACACAAAGCAAAAAAAAAAATAGCAAGGAAAGAAATGGAGAAAATCACAGGACACAACAACAACCAGTATTTGGATGTAATAGTTTTATAGCTTTTATTTGAGTAATAAAAATTCCAAGTTGTATGTAATATCAATTTGTTTATTTTTATATTTTAACTTTAAAAAGTGTGGATACCTGATTGGCTAATTTACACGTTGGATTTACAGCCACTTTTTACTTTGTTTCTCTGATGAATCAAACAAGGTGATAGGGCTGACAGCAATTTCAAAGGGATAAAAATGCTTGCCAAACCTCATGCTTTATTCAATATACATGAGATTATGCTGTGCTCTCCTGCATGCAATAGATTTTACTGTTGCTGTGAAAGGGTTAATTGCATTTTTGTCTATTTGTCAATCAAAACCATTGGAATGGTTTCTCAAAGTTCTTTTATATTATTCTATAGATCATATTCTAAATTATTTTGAGACTGATTTAGTCTAGATGCACCCTACAGTAGTTACATGAAACAAGGCAATATAATTCTAGTCCATGTATAATGTCTATAGATCCAAGATGCGCTATATGTGGAAGTCTACAGTGACTTTGTATATTCACATTAGACGTTCCCTTAATTCTGCATTTTGTATAATAATTCTTTATTCCATAAATACCAAAAAA